TCATATATTTTGCTTCTACTTAAATTTTTTGTTTCCTCCAATACTACAACCACCACCACCACATTTCTATTTTTCATCAATTTGCAAAACAAGCAGTGAATACTTTTCTTAGTTTTAGTCAACAAATCAAACAGCAAAAGATTCTTCGATCTAAAACATATCAAAGCAAGAACATAACACGTACTCATGCAAGAAGCATTGTCTCCGCTGACCAAGATTAACCCCTAAAAATAGCACATGACCTTATCTTAACTGCTTGTTACTCATCAACTAAAAAGCAAAAGGCTATGAAGTCATTGTTGTGCAAGTTGATGTGTAATGAGATCCCACTCATTCAAAACAAACAGATTTTCCTCATAACGCTGTTTGAAATAATGATCTCTCAATTTTGTTAGCTATCCGAGACTTTTCAACATCAAACATTTGCCTTGTCAAGTTCCGGCATCCAACCACAGTTTTCTCATGTTTATTTTTTCCTCTTAGCGAGAAGTTCCCAGTTCTAGCCTCGCATTCATGCTCAAAGGCCTACTCGTACCAGGATTTTCGGGGAATGCGAATGTTAATCGCCACTCTTACATTCTAAAAATAGATACAGACAGGAGCCGATTACTTATCTTAAGCTTATTTGTGGCGTATTTTTTGTTAAGAATCGTACTACGGTAAGGCTAAGATTTTTTGTTTGTGTAGTGCAAGATTGGGGGAGACGTGAAGCGCCGCTGCTCAAACATTCGTCGAAACTGAACGTACTAAATAATTTCTCTTTGGCATGGTATGAACGCAAGGGACAAGGGAGCTATTATGGCGTAGGTATATAAGGTTTTGAAAGTTGATTTATATCAGCTCCTGAACTTTTCATTTTCCTATATTTTTTTTTTTACCTTTAGCCGCTGCGAAGTTTGTGCAGTGCGACTGCATTGGTTGGCGGAAACGTTCCCAATTTTTGCTCATTTGTTTTTTTTTTTTTTTTTTTTTTATGAGACCGCGCACGTAACTAGTTTAGCCTAAGTGACGTAATTTAGGAGTGTTTGAATTTTCGTGTTATGGTATTCCGACGTCAATAAACACTCAGACTCTCAATTCTAGCTGCACAATTATTTTCCCTTGTCTTAGCCGTGAATATAAAAAGGAAATTTAAATTTCCTGTTTATTAACATATTTATACTATTTGTTTGTAATTTCCTATTCATCAACAACACAGCTTTGTTTCGACAATGCTTGAAGTGTTGAGTGGCCCATATTTAATGCCCACTTCATAAATGTTATATAGATGTTCTCAAACTTGCTTAGTGGGTTGCAATTTTTTTACCTTTTAAAGTTTGTTCTTTTAAAAGATCAACGAGCAGAAGAGAACAGAAAGCGCGTCCTCCGCACCATGGTGCAGCTAGAAGACAAAGAAAACTTACTGTGACATTATTCATAATGACTGTTGTATCTTTACTGACGTGGCTACCATATGTTGTTACCACGTTTGTAAAATTCACAACTAATAGTTTTAAGTCAATTTCTTATCAAAAAGAGTTACGTTTGAATCTCGCTTTGATTGTTTTGTTCAACGCAAACTCTCTTGTTAATCCCATATTATACGCTATCAGAATGCCAGATTTTAGAAGAGCTCTGCTCTCTTTATTTAGGCGTCAACAAAACCAAATGATCGGTCATGATATTCTTCTTCATCGTTTGTAATCTATGAACTTTATCTTACAACTAATCTAGTAGAAATTCAGCGGGTTACTTTAAATACATGTACCTTTCTCTGTAAACGGTTTACAGTAAACAGCCTCTTAAAAATTAACCAGAAAAAAATAATTTTGCGACTTCAGCGGGATTCGAATCAATGGCCTCTACGTAAGCGCTGCAGTGCTCTAACCAATTGAGTTATGAAGACCCACATATTGAGAGCAGGGCAGTTGGTTGAATTGAGTTCCGTGAATGAAATGAAACAATGAAGATGATGTGAGCTGCGGAAATACAGATTTTATATGAATATATGATTGTCGCAGTGGTAAGTAGTATACTAGGGATGAAGATAAGCCTCGTTGGTGGATTCCCTTTGGATTCCCTCGCAGAAAGTGGATTCCCTTAATTAATAGGCATATGGGTCTAGTCAATGACGTCATCTATTGTGATAACCTAGGGAAAAAATGGGTTCCTCCATACTAATTAAGTGTCTTCCTCCATATATAATGAAGTGGATAGGTTTACTAATGAGCGTCACTCTACTACAATAGGAACAATAGGCTTGCCTAGACTTGCCCGGGCTCTTTTAACCCTGATTGGATAGTAAACAATCTATTATGTGTTTCAAATAAAAGCGGGCTCTCCGTTCAGCATTTTATTATTGTCACAAACTCCAGTAAATAATATTTTTGAGCGGATGGCTTCCAAACATACTAGTCAACGGTCCGAAAACAGTACTCGACTTAAAACTATTCACTGTGACCAAAGATAAATATTTTTATTCTACAAAACCATTGATTCTGTTTTGTCAATATAATTCAACCTTCAAACGTTTCTAGACTGTGGTATCGAGCGTTAACCATTAACAGGTTGGCCTTTTTCCTTTTAGACCTGTATCATACGAAACAAAACGAAAGCAAGCGAACTGTATTTTATTATTCATCGCAAACTAATTTAATATACACTGAGCCAACATGAACGCTTGTCGCATAAATTATCCACGGGAATCAACTCAGTTATATATATTAAAACAATGGTGGGATTAATACGCGCGTGCTACAACCAGACTAAACCTTTGTTTCGGATAAAAAATACATTTATTGATAACAAAACCATCAAAGTGTTACAACAATACATGAATAGACAGAGTTCCGACTTAGTCTTCGGGAACAGTTTGTTTGACAAACAATCGATTGAGTAAGAATTTCCGCTTATCGATGGCAAGTTCTGTCGATTCCAGCCAGTCATATCCTTCTGTGTCTTTGAGATCTTGGCGGGTTTCCATCACTTTTCGGAATGTCGGATCTTTCTTCATTGCATGCATCCACTGTAAAAACTCTAAGAACACTTTTCTCAATTCCTTTCTATATACTGGAAGCAAAGCATTTTCAGCTTTAATGCGGGCCACTTCAGGCGAGTCTCCGTTTTGTTCATACTCGTTGATCAGAGCTTCGAGCTGGGCTTCGTGGCGATTACAACTTCATTTTGAATGCGTGACCAAGGATCTACATGCTCCTCCTCCTCCTCTCCGGAAGAGTCCATTTCTTCGCTAGACTGAGAACTTTGAGATGATTGTTCGCTTTCTTGTGAGCTTTCAATATCGTCGTCATCATCTTCAAAATTTCCATATCCTTTTTGAACGAAATGATTATAATTGCTGAACATTGTGATCCAAACTGCACGAGGTTTAAGAACTGACTGAATCAGAAACAGCGGCTTACTTCTTTTATAGCTATCGATGGAGGCACGGCTGCAAAGCACAACGGAACTCTATGAACTTTCATTGTACCCCTTCTGTACCCCTACTGTACCCTTCCTGTACCCTTCCTGTACCCCTACTGTACCCTTCCTGTACCCCTACTGTACCCTTCCTGTACCCCTCCTGTACCCCTCCTGTACCCTTCCTGTACCCTTCCTGTACCCCGACTGTACCCCTACTGTACCCTTCCTGTACCCCTCCTGTACCCCTACTGTACCCTTCCTGTACCCTTCTTGTACCCCTCCTGTACCCCTGAATTCTCTTTTCGGGCTAAGACGAACACGACTCTTAAAAGAGGCTAAGGTTTCTTGGGAATCAAAAAGAGAATGTATTTCTACAAGCGTCGACTTACCTCGTTGTTCATCTAGTTCCACGAGAAAAATATGTGAACCAAGAAAAAGAAGAAGACTAGTAAACGAAACGCCGAAAACTTCTTCTGCTGCGAAGAAGGTAAAGCTTTCCCATGATGTTTCCTTGGCAACCAAGCCTTATCCAGATTTTATGTTTCGCCATAAGTTCTCCCTCCTTGTGGTTGGACCAAGTCAATCAGGGAAAACAGTTTTCGTAGAACAGATTCTAACGAGCGATCGTATTGTCTACGAAACCAACAAGCCCCGTCGCATTTTATGGTATTACAGTCAGTGGCAAGATAGATACGAAGCTTTGAAATCAGCGATCGGAAAGGACATTAAATTTTTTCGTGGCCTTCCCACATTTCAAGAAGATCTGCGAGAAATTGACCCAAAATACAACAACGTTATCATCTTTGATGATCTAATGGCAGAAGCGATCGAAAGCCCCATCGTTTCTCGGTTGTTTACCCAAGGTCGCCATAGAAATGCCAGCGTCATACTGCTCCTTCAGAATATGTTCCCCAAGGGAAAATTTAACACCGATATCAGTCGGAATGCACAGTACATGGCTCTTTTCCGAAGTCCTAGCGATCGGAAACAAATCGGAATTGTTGCTGAGCGTATGTTTGATAAGAATCGCCAACGATTCATGACAGCTTATTATCAGGAAACAGAGAGGCCTTACGGTTACATCTTTGTAGACACGGCGGCAAATAAGCAGGTGTTGAGCGACATCTTTGGCTCTTGTCGAGTTTACCCAAGTATCAACAAAACCTTAAAACCAGAGGGAGAGGTGGAATCGATCCCCCCAAAGGATCTTATTGTGCCCCCGAAATATGCTGAAGCTAAATCATCTACGCGTAAACCGAAACCGTTTGATCTGGATTGGTGTGGGATGACCTGGCCCGCCTTGAAGAATTATTTACATGGAGCGCCCTATCTCAAAGCTATTCCAGAAGGGTTTGGCCTTTGCGAGATGTACACGAGCACTCGAAATGCTGTTAACCCTTATACCCCCACAGTCATGTTTGCATCTGAAAATTACTGGCCCGTCAAAATAAAACATTATTCCAACGGCAAAAGAAAGTGGATTTATATACACGAAGACGAACCAAGTGTCCAAGCATTTGTTCAAGAAACGAAAGCAATCGAAAGAGCTAGAGGGAGAGGCACTTTCTAGGCTTTGAACATTTGCTCATCATATTGTAATCCTTTTTCTAAAGTTGTCGAGTTACTACAATAAATGTATTTTTACTTGTAAGATTTGAAGAAATAAAACCTTTTAAGATGTTCACCCAAGCGCATTCACGCTATTGTTTATATATAATTGAGTTGATTCCCGTGGATAATTTATGCGACAAGCGTTCATGTTGGCTCAGTGTATATTAAATTAGTTTGCGATGAATAATAAAATACAGTTCGCTTGCTTTCGTTTTGTTTCGTATGATACAGGTCTAAAAGGAAAAAGGCCAACCTGTTAATGGTTAACGCTCGATACCACAGTCTAGAAACGTTTGAAGGTTGAATTATATTGACAAAACAGAATCAATGGTTTTGTAGAATAAAAATATTTATCTTTGGTCACAGTGAATAGTTTTAAGTCGAGTACTGTTTTCGGACCGTTGACTAGTATGTTTGGAAGCCATCCGCTCAAAAATATTATTTACTGGAGTTTGTGACAATAATAAAATGCTGAACGGAGAGCCCGCTTTTATTTGAAACACATAATAGATTGTTTACTATCCAATCAGGGTTAAAAGAGCCCGGGCAAGTCTAGGCAAGCCAATTGTTCCTATTGTAGTAGAGTGACGCTCATTAGTAAACCTATCCACTTCATTATATATGGAGGAAGACACTTAATTAGTATGGAGGAACCCATTTTTTCCCTAGGTTATCACAATAGATGACGTCATTGACTAGACCCATATGCCTATTAATTAAGGGAATCCACTTTCTGCGAGGGAATCCAAAGGGAATCCACCAACGAGGCTTATCTTCATCCCTAGATAACTACTGTGGTAATTGCAATATCAGCCCCTTCTTTTAGTTTATAAGCCCCACTAAAAGCCCTGACGATGATGTAAAAACCCTGGGCTTATAAGCGGCAGTTTATGGTATTACTTTTAACAAAATAACGTTCTTATGCCTATAACTATCAAGCAATAACAGCTCATGTTTACACCCCTGGTTTGGGTTTTCAAAAGATGGTTAACTTTAAACGAAATTAACTCGTCTAGGAACACGTATCTAGAGCTGATAAACTATTGTTTAGCCTTGACTTAGAGACCCAGTTATACAATTCCAAAAATGATAGTCCAAAACTGCCTACATAACAATATATAGCTACTGTTGTAAAAAGGACCGGTCAGACTGAGTATGTACAAAGACTCAGCTCAATGAAGAAACACTGATTTCTGCTACGTGTGGTCGTAACGCATCCGAAAACTGGGAAGCCTTCATGTTTACTAGGCAATCTGTGACTGTGATGGTTGTACGAAAGACTGCCATTCAAAACAAAGGAATTCCTTTTCAGATATTGGAGACATTGTTCCGGTCGCACTCCTTTGTTTCCAGACAGATGAAGGCTATACACACTTACAGCTTACAGATTTAGTTAGAAATTTTGATTTCTAACCAACCACCAGCTCAGGGATTTAAAAGTCCCTGAGCTAGTGGTTGATTCGTGTTGTCGGATGAATAAGCGGTCCTTCACAGACCCTACATTTTAGCCTACATCGATACCACGTCTACCCTATACTGTACATCGACCCCACATCACCCAACAGCCACCTTTCGTTTCAACACAGTTATTTGTAATGATGTCAGTCGTAAGTAGTGGAGGTATATACCACCCCCACACATTGTTTTCCTCCACCACCAACACCATTACCATCGCATTTCTACTGTTTCCCTCTACCACCACGACCACCACCACATTTCATTTTTTTTTCTCTCCGATATTACCAACACATTTCTATTCTTTCCCTCCACCACCACGAACATCACGTTTTTATTGTATTCCCACCACTGCCACATTTCTATTATCTTCCATTCACCAGCACCACCACAAGTAACCAAGGCTCTGTTATAGTACCATTATCCTATTTCCACGATCCTAGCATGGTAATATACCGTTCGAATTTCGTTTAATCAGTTGTGTTGGAAATGGGGCATGGAGGCCGAGATGTCATCTCGTGCCTCCTAACTTTTGTATTATATTGTATGGAGGCTGAATTTAAGCAAATTATAACGAAAATTCGTTTGAGCATTAAGGACAAAAACAACTAACTGCATGCAAAGCAAGTTTTATTGACCTTTATTTAGTATTTCCTACAAATTATAGGATCGTATTATTACCCCAAACAAACGCTGTAATTTTACCGGAACCGTTCTGTGGTACTATCACAGAGCCTGGGTAACTCGTGGCACCACCACCACGTTTCTATTGTTCCTCTCCACCACGGCCACATTTCTAATATTTTCCTTCCACCACTTCCACTACAGCTACATTTTCATTGTTTTCCCTCCACTACCACCACTACTACCACATTTTTATTGATTTCCTTCCACCACCACCACTGCATTTGAATTGGTTTCCCTCCACGCCGCCTCCACCGCTTCCATTTGTTTTCGCTCAAAACACGTTTCAAAAGTCCCAAAGAAATTTGCAACACGTACCTATTTCAGCTAGCCATATGTTTTCTTACTGCTTGAACATAATACTTTTGATGGATTAATTGTGGATTTTCAACAAGTTGCAACTTGCTAAACGCAATAGAACTCGCATTTTTTATCAACGATCAACATGCTAATTGGCCCTTATTTCATGCCCACAGCTGCATAGATTTAATTTCAAACAGATTGTTTTCAAGGTTGCCAGTAAAAGAGAACAAATACTTTCTTATCCGCTGCTATATTTTACATTTAAATTTGGTTCTTTTAACAGGATGACGAGCTTACAAAGAACAGAAAAAAGAAACAAAATTGAAAAGAACTTCGCAAAAGAAGCTTATACTTGGTTATTAACTTGACAGTCGCTGACATGTTAGCTGGAGGAATTTTCATTGCTCAAACTTTCTTTACACTGGGGAGACTGTATGATTGCAAATTTTCGAAATTTACCTTTGATTCATACTGGAGTGCCTTTCCTTTACTCTTTGCCATCTTTTTGTTTCCTATGATATCTCTGACAAATATTGCTATGATTTCTTTACAGCAGGCACACACCAAGTTTCGTCCATTCAAGCATCGGGTGATCAAATAGTGGGTCTCAGGTGTAGCGATCGTTGTTTTCTGGGGGTTAGCTGCTATAGTATCAGCATGCATTGTAAGGGTGCTATCGTATTTCCATTAAAAAATATCCGGACCGCGTGTGGACAGGGCTAAAAATGACGCCTATTAAACCAAAATGAATCCCATATATGGTGGAGGTAAAAGGAGAGTAACAAGATTTCATTTTCTCGATAACTTACTGGTGAATTTTCCTACCATATGTCATACATTGTTCTTATTTGATTAGTCACTTATTCTACATTTAATTTTCTGTTATTATT